GCCGAGGGGCGGGGGAGAGGGGGGGCCAGAACCCGGCCGCCTTACCCTCGGTCCCGCCCCCAGATTAATGAAAACCACCTGGCGGGTGAGCCGCACGCACCGCCCCCGCCCTCAGGCCCCCGCATCGTTCCCGTGAGCATCTGCGTCTAATGAGTGCCCCAGCACCGCGGCATACCAGCCCCCGGGGCTCATTAATCTCATTAGGCAATGACAAATCATCCTGGGGCTGCTCAGGCTCCCGCCCCGGGCCCTCTCTTCCAGGCGTGCCCAGGCCTCTGGAGGCGTGTGTCCACACAGATCCACAGGCAGGCCTGCACGCCCAGTCCCGGGCTCCCTTGACCTCTCCTGGGGGCTGTCTGCCCTGTGGCCGGCTCGGTCCACGGTCTGGGGGCTTCTCACTGTGACTGGGTCACCCTGGAGTCCAGGAAAGTCTTCAGGTGGCCAGCCCTCTGCTGAATGCGCGGGGAGGATCCGGGCAGAGATGCAAGGGACCCGAGGAATGATCCATTCGCGAGTCCTTTCCGCCCGTAGACTTCATCTACACGACCGCCTGCCTAGGGCTGGGGGCTCTGGACGAATCTAAGCGGTCTGGGGCGGCCGGTGTGACATCTTGCCACTTTCAACTCTTCCGAGGAGAAGGCGACAGCCATTTACTGAGAGGCCGAGGTGTCCCCTGCTCTCTTCCTGGGTGAACTCATCTGCCTCCGTGGCCACCTGTCAGGGAGCCGTGCCTTGCCCCTTGTTCCAGGTGAGAGCCTGAACAGGCACCCAGAAGGTATATGGAGGTGGAATTCAATCCCAGTCTCTTTTCACTCCAGGGTGAAGTCCTGTGCCCTTTCATCGCCTGCCCCTTCACTCCAAAAGCCTTTCCTCTGGCTAGTCCGCTGAGGGAGGCGGGACACAAAGGAGGGCTCAGAGACAGGGCCGCACACACCTCTGGGCCCTTCTGCACACTCCTGGGCTGGCCTTGAACTCTGCTGGACTGTTTCAGATTCTCCAGTTCAGCCTGCCTGGCTGATAAAGGTGTGTACCTCACCCCCCAGTTCTCTGGAGCGCGGGTCCTCCCGTGGGATCATCTCAGTCACATTCCCTCTCAGGGCCCTCTCTGTGTCCCCTTCCTGGCCTCGGGGCCCTGCACTGCACAACAGGGGACCCCCCCCCACTTACACCCCACCTGTTTGCAGAGGCCAGAGGGGTGCTCAGCAGGGCGGGCAATGCCGGCACTTTCTGGAGCAGCCCACATCTACTCAGTTATCAGACAGGCCGCTAACTCCCATGGGACTTGCTGCATGGACTGTGGGATGTGAAGCTGCCACAGGCTCAGCCGCCCCAGCCTGCACGGCTGAGTCTAAGAGGACAGAGAGATCAGTGTTTCCTGGCACCAACTGCACGCCAAGCCACGGCGTCTCGTTTGCAATGAATAGGCCCACAGTGCAGGGGTCATCTGGTCCACTGGTTCCCAACCCCAATGAGCATGAGAATTGCCCGCATACCTTGTAAACAATTCCCAGGCCCCTGCTGACCTGATGAATTAGCATCTTCAGGACCAGGGCCCAGGACCTCTCCTTACCTCTGGGGTAGTGGGTAGTGACTGTGATGATTAGTTTTATGTGTCAGAGTATAGCCCTCGGTGACTTAATCAATCACTAATCTAGGTGCTGCTGCGGAGGTATCTTGTAGATGGGGTTACCGTCTACAGTCAGTTGACTTTAAATAAAGGAGACGACTTTAAATAAAGGAGACATGGGTGGGCCTCACCCAATCAGTTGAAGGCCCGGAGAGCAAAACCTGAGGTTTCCCAGAGAAGTTCTGCCTTCAGACTGCAGCATCAGTTCCTGCCTGACTCTCCAGCCTGCTGGCTGGTCCTACAGATTTTGGATTTGCCAGTCCCCACAATCACATGAGCCATTTCCTTAAAATAAATTTCGTTATAAAGAAATAATTTCTTGGAACTCCCTGGTGGTCCAGTGGTTAGGATTCAGCACTTTCACTGCCATGGCCCGGGTTTGATCCCTAGTCGGGGAACTAAGATCCCGCAAGCCGCTTGATGAGGCCAATAATAATAATAATAATAATAAAGAAAGAATTTCTTTGTATATTTATATAAGGACACAGCCACATACATCTCCTATTGGTTCTGTCTCTCTGGAGAAGCTTGACTGATACACTGGTGACCAGCCAGGCTGGAGACCCTGGGCTCCTCCAGCCCCTGCACTGCCTCTCCATCCCAGGGAAGCGAGGCCAGGATGCTGAACCCAGCACCCCTCTGCCCAGAAGCCTCCCCTCCTCTGAAAGCCCGGCTGTGTCACTGGGCTTTTTGATCTTTTCCTTCTCCTGCAGCTCTGTGGGTATTACACACACCCAAGGATCATAGAGTTTTAAATCCAGAGTGCACTTTACAAACTGCCCTGTCCCCCCACTTTTATTTTGGTCTTAGTTGCCCCGCCAGGGGTCGAACCTGTGCCCCCTGCAAGGGAAGCGTGGAGTCCTAACCATTGGACCGCCAGGGACTCCCCCCCCCCACTTTTAACAGATGAGGAAACTGAGGCCCCAAAGGGAGGCATCCCTCTGACCCCACCTCCCACCACTCCCCAGTCACGCTGCCCTTCTGCACCTCAAGCTCACCAGACAGGCTGGGCCCCAGGGCCTCCCCCGCTGCTCCTGCCTCTGCCTCTAGACAACTACCTGCCCTCCCTCCCTAGGGCTAGGGCTCCATCACCTCCAGCGAGGCCTTAACCTCATTACATAAAATAGCGGCCCCCATTCCAGTGCTTTCTGCCCCCCTTCCCCTGCTGCTTTGTTCTCCTCTGCAGTGTTTATGGGCTCCTGACGTATTATACATTTCTTTGCTATGTTCTGGGTCCCATCAGCGGCAGGTAAGTTCCCCAGGGCAGGCACCTGGCCTACCGCGTTCACTCTGGATGCCCAGCACGCAGCCTGGCACACGGAGGGGGCTCAAGAAACATCTCGAGAGTGAATGACTAGATGATTCCTAACAGGGCAGGGGCTCCAACTCAAGACCTAGAATTCTCACTCTAGTGCCCTTTCTCCGCTCTCAGCATAGGTCATTATTCCCGTCTCCTCTCCCACTTTGCTCTGCTTGCCTCCCGTGGTTTGAGTGCACCTGCAGGGTGGTGATCTGGCTCCCGGTGCCGTGGGGAGGGGTCCAGTTGGGTAGGCTTGCATGGGGGGAAGGAGAAGCCCATCGTCTCATCTTCACCAGAAAATCTACCCTCGTGAGATTGAAGGACCACCCAGCAGACCCAGCAGATTTTTGGCGGATGAGGCGAGAGGGTAAAGATGGGAAGATATCCCAGAGGCCTCAGGAGGCTCTGGGCAGCTCTCGCTTGTGCCAAGGAGAACAGAGACGGATGCTGGGCGGTGACTGGCCCTGGTTTGGCCGGGCCAAAGGACTGCGGGCAGCTGCGGTTAGTTTTTCTCCAAAAGATCCCAGGAGGGAGCGTCTGCTTTCTGGCAATTCAGCCCTCTAAGACCAAGTCTGGGCTGAGACAGCTCCTGAGTGCTTAGCTGCTCCAGGAGGAGAATGTTGGTGCCTAATGAGTCTTCTAAATATCAGCTTGGGGGCAGCCCTTCCTCCCTTTCGGAGCAGAGTCAGCGGGACCTGGTCACAGCTGTCTGCGCGCACCGTGGCTAACATCCCGGGAGCCCCCCCACCCCCAACATGCCCTGATCCCACAGAACGTGCTCCACCTTTCCACGCCAAACATGGCCGTGTCCCTTTCCACCCGCCCCCAACCCAGTCAGGCCACCAAGCTTTCCGCACAGGCGGCTTGGGGGAGAGCCTTGCCCTTCCCTTGTGAAGTGGGTGTAATAGAGACGACCTCGTAAGTTGTTGTCCTGGTTAAAGATCTACACTCCATCATGTCGGTACTGCATCTCTATTACCCTTGAACTTTCTAGCCTTCGCTGATCCTTCCTTTGGACTTTACAGAAACCCCGATCTACTTTATTCCTATATATATGGCAAGGTCTCTGGTCTCACTAGACTGTGATCCCTTTGGCTGTTTGAGAGCAGGCACCTGCCTTATTCGTTCGTATCCCCCAATGCTCTGATCCAAGCCCTTCAGGCAAAACGGTACTAGAGGGGGCAGGACCCTGTTGGAGGCCTTGGGAACGCCCAGCAGGTGGGAGCAGAGCTAGGAGACAGGGGCTTGGACGTGAGGGAGATGGCAAGGATCCGGCTCCAGGAGGGATCGGAGGCCCAGGGGTCCCGTGGAGGAGACAGGACCCAAAGCTGTTGTACAGGCTGTGGATCGGGAGTTGCCAACTGAACGGGGAATCGAGAGAGGGGTTGACTCAACCCCCTCCTTTGGCACGGACTTGCCCGTGACCGAGGCAGGTCCCCAATTCTGGGAAGGAGCTTCTCTCGGGCTAGCAGGGCCCTTGCCGTCCGTCCACAGGGCAGCGGAGGATGCTGTTGCTGTTGCAGCTGTAATCCAGGGCAGTGGGGATGGAGGGAGGCGGAGAAGTGGATGTGACCCACTGTCCCCACCCCTCAGCCCAGGGCTCTGGCCCCTTGGAGCTTTGTTTGTCGACTGTGTTTAGGGAAGGAGGAAAGAGGCCTCAGTCATACTAAATGCTCCTTCTGCCCTTTATGCTGGGCCCCCAGCTGGGACGGGGAGGCAGCTTCTGGACAGTTAAGGGGCTCAGCCCTCATAGCTAATTGCTCATTAAAGAGTGTTAATGAGATTCCCACAGCCCCATCCCTGCCTGGACCAGCTCCGTGTCCCCACTTCTCTGTGCTGTGGCTGGTGAGGGAACTGGTCTCTCTCTCCCGGACCAGTTCCTCCGTCCTCCACTTGGTGGTCGAGTCCGACCGTGGGCGCTGCTGGGCCAGCAGGTCCCGGGCCCCTCAGCAGCCGGGATTCCTCACCCTCCCTGGCCCGACCGCTTCCCTGAGCACTTACAGTTTCTCCAGCAGCGGCAGTCCCAGGAAGGAGCCGTTCCGGAGCCCCGTGATCTTGTTGTTACTCAAGAGCCTGGAGGACAGGGGAGAACACAGAGGGGAGAGTGTTGCCTTCTGTGTAAGCGGCGCCCCCTGAAGCTGGGCAAGGAGCAGCCCCACCCTGGGCTCCGGGAGACCACGGGGAGGGGCCAGCGAATGGTTCGGGCAGACTGGTCAGCCCACTGAACGCCAGGTCAGACGTGTCACCTGCCCTGGGTCTCCCCACAGCCTGGATCTGACTTAGGCTCTGTACGCAGGTGAGCTGAGCAGGTGTGAAGTTGTGATGACCCGTTGTCACCTTGGAAGCACAGGGCTGAGCCCATGGCACCCCCTTTCTGCCCCCCACAGCTCTGTCTCGCTCAAGCCATTGGCCCAGTAATCTGAGGACAGTGCTGGGGAGGATGGTCTGGCAGGTAGGAGAGGAAGTCAGGCAGGTGCGAGGACCTGCCCTTCCTCGGGGTCTCCATCACTCCGGGAGCTGAGGACCTCACCAGAAGGGGACCCCTCCCTCCCCTCAAAGGTCCCCAACTCAGAGGGCTGGAGTGCCCAAGCGTCCCCAAGCCTGTCTATAGCCTTGACCGGAAACTGATGGAGTCCTCGGCCCCGGGGGAGCCCAGGCCTCAGCCTCTGCCTCTGCCCACTCAGAGTCTTGTTTATTTACTCGTTTGTATTTGTGGAAGCAGAAAGGGGCCCCAAGCTCCTGACCCAACCCACTCTGCCCACCCACTCAGCCTTTCTCTGTCAGGCTCCCTGCTGGGAGGAGAGAGTTCCAGGCCAGCCAGAGGGCTCATCCCTTGAGTTAATTGCTTATTAAAAAGCTTTAATGAGCCTCTCAGCTCCAGCTCTTGCCTGCCCTGCGCTGAGGCAAAGGTTTTCCCATCTTTGCTCTGAATGGTGGAGAACGGACCTGGGAAGGCCAGAGGTGCAGGCCTTGGGCCTCCCCTCCAGTGAGCAGCCTCTGGGCTGGATAGTAAGGGAAAGGGCAGGGGGCGGGAGCAGGGCCCGGGAGGGGCTGTCAGAGCTCTGCCCCAAAGCTTAATGGAAGTGGGTGGGTGCACAAACCAGACTGGCAGTGAGAGGACCCCAGACATCCATGCTACACCACGTTCAAGGGCACATGGAAAACAGACCACGGCCGGGACGGAGGCAAGGGTGGAAGGGGGCTTTGTGGGTCAATGGGAAGATGTGGACACCTCATCTCCTTCCTCCCTTCTCCCCTCTCCAGAGAGGCCCCTCCTCCCCTTTGGGTCCCCCCCCTCACTGTCCTTCCAATTGTGACATTTCCCAGCAAGGTCTCAAGGGTGACTGTGTGGAGGGTTTCAAGGGAGTGCTGGGTTTTCAAAGTGCTACACACACACACACGTGCACACACGTGCGCGCACACACACACACACATTGTCTTGATATTTCAAAAAGCACATCACAGTAGTCATCATATGAATAATTAGAACATTCTCAAACCCCTTTATTCTCATTTTATGGGTTAGGATAGTTTTATTTCACGTTACCTGTGGTGGCCAATTATAAATAATCTTGTCAGTTCTTAGGGCCTCGAATGGTCTCATTCAGGCCCTGGTGGGGCTGCAGTGGCGCCCTGGGTGGGGACAGGCTCTTGATGGTGTGAGTTTTAAATGGGAGCCCATCCATCCCACCTCATCTGTTGCTCATTCCCTCATACACCCTCAGAGCCTGAGGTTCAGGGGTTGCATTAAATGTTGGAGAAGGCGAGAGGACCCCTCAGTATCCTTAGTAATGTTGGGAGGGGTCCTGAAATGTCAGGAAGAGTGGCGAGAAAGGGCATCTGTTTTAGCCTCCCCGAACCCCAAGGGTCTCTCGCAGGGACTGCCCCTCCCTGGGTCTTGGGGAGGGAGAAGGATGGGGATGCTGATGCGGGGGGCACAGCGGGGAGGTAGGGGGTATGGAAGGTTAGAGGGACAGGGGGAGCCAGGTTATCACAGCCCCGTGCACAAAGGGGGAAGCCTGAGAACATTCCCAAACTTGAGTGGAGTATGGACCTGTTAAAGGGAGGGGAAATGTATCTTATTTCCTGCAAATATGTCTGAGGATCCCAGTTTGAGAAACACTGACTTTAGAAATGAAAATCTTACACTATGAAAATACCTTCTATTAAAACATTATGTCAAAATTATAGGCAAAGGGGCTTCCCTGGTGGTGAAGTGGTTGAGAATCCGCCTGCCAATACAGGGTACATGGGTTTAAGCCCTGGTCCGGGAAGATCCCACATGCCGCGGAGCAACTAAGCCCGTGCGCCACAACTACTGAGCCTGCGCTCCAGAGCCCGCGAGCCACAACTACTGAGCCTGTGCGCCACAACTACTGAAGCCCGCGCGCCTAGAGCCAGTGCTCCGCAACAAGAGAAGCCACCGCGATGAGAAGCCTGTGCACTGCGACGAAGAGTAGCTCCTGTTCACCACAACTAGAGAAAGCCCATGCGCAGCAATGAAGACCCAACGCAGCCAAAAATAAACAAATGAAATAAATAGAAATTAAAAAAAAATTATGGGCAAAAAATGTTTTGCTCAAAGATCATTGAACTGAAAACAGAAAATTAAACAAATTCTCCAACTCCCAAATCCCCGATATTAAAACCCGGGATCCTAATTGGAGAACCCTATCCAGACAAGTCTAGTGGTAGTGTTGGGGGTATAGGTACCCCACATTCTCCAGACTCTTTGTCCTTTAACCCTTGAACCCCTTTCACATACCCCAAATTTAACCCAGAACTGGCCAACAGAAGTACAATGCCAGCTGCATACGTAATTTAGAATGTTCTAGCAGTCACATTGTTTAAAAGTTAAAAATTAATCTTAATAATATACTTTATTTACCCCAATGTGCCCAAAATGTTATCATTTCAACACATAATTAATATATTATTATATATTATAAATATACATATATTATAAATTATATAAATAACAAAAATTATTAATGACATATTTTCCCTTTTTTGGTACTAAGTCTCGGAATCTGGTGTGGATTCTCCTCTTCCAGCACAATTTACTTAACTCAGACCAGCCACATCACAAGTACTCAGGGCCACATGGGGCTGGTGGCTTTAAGTCTTATCCCTGATTTAGTCTCCTTGTAGCCAGCACCTCCCCAGGAGGAAGTCTGGGCTGCTGGGGGGATACTCAGGTGGCCCGGGGTGGGGTGTGTGTGTGTGGCCTGGGAACAGAGCAAAGGATTGGGACCAGCCCCCAAGGCAGGTGAGGACAAGCCTCTGGTCCAGAGCAGCTCATCTCCTGGCTGCCACCCCAAGGCCCGTGTTCTCTGAGGCAGCCTCTGTTGGGCTGGGGAGCAGAGGGTACAGCAGGGTGACGTTGGGGTCAGCTGCTGCCCGTGCTGCAGGCTCGGCCAGCCCAGTGTAAACTCCATGGCGGGCACCAGGCTGTGCTGCTCCCGTCTCCTCCAATGGGCCCCTTCTTGCCGCGTCTCCAGCTCTTGGACAGACTTCAGCAGGTATCGGTATGCTTTAGTCCCCAGATACCCAGAAATGGATCTTTTGGTCTTAACAATCTAGATCGGGCTGAGGACATTTTACTTCAGACCTAGACTAGATCAGGGGGAGAATGGCCTCAATTATGCTGGTAGGTTCAGTCCTCTGGAGGTGAGGGCAGGGATTTGGGAGAGTGTTTGGGGCAGGTAGGAAGCTGGCAGTTATGGGGCTGCTAATGGGGTAGATGAAACACACACACACACACACACACACACACACACACACACACACACACACACACTCATCCAATAGGAAGAAAAATGTTCCCCCCACGCTAGGCTCTCATGGGAGGAAAACAGGCAGGGCAGCCCCATGCTTCTGTCCAGAGTCGCAGACACAACGCCAGTTTCTGCCCCCTCCTAATCGCCTCCTAACCCCGCCCAGAGAGCCTCAGCCCCACCGGCCTCCCCCCAGCACCAGCACAGGGCGCCTGCCAGGTGGGTTTGCTTCCCAGCCATGCCTCCCATCCCTCAGACCCCAGGCCCGCCCAACCCAGCATCCTTGGCTTCTCCCTCCCTCCCGCGTCTACCACCCAACATCACATTTTCACAGGAAGCGGGGCCAGTCCCTGGGGGCCCCTGTTCTCTACCCCAGAATCTGAAATCTGGCCAAGGAGAGGGGGCACACTGAGTCCATTCCAGAACTCTCTCCCGGCTCGGGTCCTATTTTAGGGAAGAGCAGCAAGCAGTTACCACTAATGAGGCTGGAGGCCACGGGAGCGAGTGGCTGGCGTCTGCAGAGGCCCTGTGGCCTCTGGGCAGCCGCAAACGCTCGCCAGATCCCAGTGCGACATCAAAGATGACCCTATAGGGGTCACGTGGGCACCGCCCCGTTGGGCACAGGGCCAGCACCTGCCTGAACAAAAGGGTTCTCACATGTGCGGGGAGAGTCATACATGTCAGTCCCTCACCGACCCCCCAGTCCACCCCAGCACAGAGATGCAAGGACCACAGGCCTGGACACTATGTCCCTGTGCTCTCCAGGAATTCTGAGCCTGGAATTTAGGCCACTGCCAAGGCCCTCTGGGCTGTGAGGGGCCCGTCTCCAACACATGCTGCTGGCACCTCGGCAGTGTCTTCGGGAGACCATCAGTGAGGGGAGGATGGTGGTCTGCTTGCTAACACCCAAAGGGCCTCAGGCCCATTACCAGCTGCACCATCAAGGTGAAACTGTACTCCCAGCCCCGCCCGCAGGCACAGTACCCAGGGCCTTGGAGCATTTCCAGGGCCCACAAGGGCAACTGAAACCTAAAAAGAAAAAAAAACGCCACTGAAATATAAATGCTACAAACATAAATTAATGAAGGCTTAGCTATAGAACTACCAAATGTCATGTTATGCCGATTAGCAATAACTGTTCTGCTTCATAAAGGTTGTGGACGCAGTTTAGCCTGACTGATAGGACAGTAGGACCTCCAAACAGGAGACTACCTCTGGTCCACAGGCCCTGCTCTGACACACACCTCAGGCTAAAGGTTGCCCTTCATGTGTACCGAGCCTGACTGCAGGGGACAT